GCCTATCATATATGTTAAGTGATAAAATCAACTGCTAGGTCAAAACCCAGCAAAATTGTGCCAGGAAATGAGATGTTTGACCAGATAGATGTCTCTAGTATGTTTTAGCATGCAAATTGCTTTATGGTAATCATTCCTTTCCTCTTTCCAGTAATGCATTGAGGTAGGTCGTTCACGTTCTCACTTTACCCATGGAGAATCGCAGCTGTAAAGAGAAAGGCAAGGCTATCTAGAGAGGTCTGAGCCAATCTGGGGAGGGAGAGATCCCCCCCCCCACATCTGTCCAACATTATATCCACTGAGAACACAATCCTATGTATGTAGAAAATGTAGAAAAAAGTTCTACATTTTTTAGCATTCCCCTGACTGGTGAATTCTGGGAGTTGCAGGGCTGTTTTTGTTTAAATATGCATAGGATTCCTCCCTGAGTCATGCCCACTGAGGGCCATTCCATGAAACTGCTGGTACAGGCTGACTGTTCGTATCTTTGCTGGGATGAACAGAATTGCAGCCTAAGGGGCATATTGTGGGTTGCTTGTATTATATTTGTTCTGTGCAGGTGCACAGGTAGTGCACAGCATCTGACCACTGGCACAGAATGCGGCATCTTGAGAGATTAATGTTTAACTGCCTTAAGCTAGAATGATGTGGTCAGTGATTTCAAAGAGACAATCTAGTTGATTCTGACACGCCAGAATTTCCCATTATGCCCATTCCACAAAGCTAATTTTGAAAATGTGCTTCTTACAGAATCCCCTTCCTTTCACAACACAGCTCTAGCTACTGGGCAGGAGTGGGCAACTTGTGGCCTGCCAAGTATTTTGGCCTACAGCTCCCATGTTCCCTCAGCATAAGCTATGCTCTCAAGGGCTGATGGGGATTTTAGGCCAAATATTTGGAGGGCCATGAATTGCCCTCCCCTGCACTGGAACAAGGATTTTCTGCAAACCATTATGTGAGGACTGTCTAATGCTCATGTTCTTCAATCAGGGGAGGACTTGCAGCGGGAGATTCTGTGCACGTACAACTATATACATATGTGGTGGTGCGTTGGCTGGAGTGTTGGACTCGGAGGTCTACTTCCCACATGTCTGTGAAGTGCACGGGGTCACACTTTGGGCTAGTCACTGATTCTGAGCCCAACCTACTTTGCAGGGTTGCTGTTACGAGGGTAAAAGGAAAAGGAGAAGAAACTTGTAAGCCACTGTGGGTTCCTTGGAGCAGAAGAAAGGCAGGATATAAGTAAAACATCATAATGATGATAGTGGTGGTGGTGGTACTGGTACCCTTGAGCTCTCCATGCAACAGGGAAGCCAGAAAAAGGATTTCTGATAGCATGCAGAGGATTATACATGTTGAGCGCTGTATGTGATTAGACTCTTCTTTAAATTTTCAGATAAATCCATGTCAGTTGGGAACTGTGTGTGGTTTCTCCACTATACTTTTATGTGTACTGAGAACATGTGTCTACATTGTCAGATTTTAAAGCAGGAGGGACATCAGGTGAAATATCAGATGTGACCTGCTGCTAGATATACAACTGAACTGGAAATCTGGCCTGTATTTGGTGCCTAAGGGGTGCAAGTCTGGAGGGGAAAAAGTCCTGCCATTTCCAGCGTGCGCCAACTAACGTGGCTGCCTAAGGCAATGCTGCAAGTTGTAGGACTTTTTCTCTGCATGAGGCATCTAGTGCACACTTACGCTCTCCTACTTAACAGAAGTTTGTGGGACCTTTCCACAAAGTCCTCCTCTTTCCACAATGTCTCCCTCTTCTTTGTTTTCCAGCCATTTCACAAGTCATTTTCTTTAAAGAGAAAGGAAAATCAGCTGTCAAAATTCAGATTGCAACATAACAGAACAAAAGCCTTATTGAAAAGTTCCAGATCTGTTATATCACAGCTATAGATCAGTGGCTCCTGGTTGGTTAATAAAATATACAGAAAGGTGGAAAAGTACAAAACCCTGGAAAAAGCCCTGTGTAAAGGACACATTTCCTCCTGCAACAAAAATATAAGAAGAAACCCCAGGAAAGTAGTGGGTCAGACCCCTCATGTAGGAAGACCTATATGTGCATAGGATTGTGTCTTAAGCACAGTTGAGTTCTCTATGAACTTTTGCTATTTATTTTTTTAAAAAATACTTACCTTTTCAGGTTTTTAAAAATGGCAGCTGAGAAACAGAACTTTGTTTCAGTTCTTAGCTATTCTATGTACTTTTGTTTCACTGAACCTACCATTTAATATATTCCACCCATCCCAATTTTTAGCTGGTAATGCACATCAGAACAGACCTATGAAATGTTGAAATGTTCCATGAAACAAGAACAAACTTGTGATTACTAATCACACGGCATTTCTTCCTGAAGATACTTTGAAAGGAGAATTTTGAGCACTATTTCTTAGTTATAGGTTTTAGCCTTAGTTAGAGCAAGAAGATCAAACAGTTGGTGCATTGCTATGTCCTTGAGGTTATCAGACCACTCAAAAGGGAAATGGCAGATCAAAGGAGACCCTTCTCCTCTACTTCAGGGAAGAAGATGAAGAATGAGAAGAAGTGTTTCTCCTGAATTCTCTGCCAGTCCGTCAGCCTGTAAAACAAACCGTATAAAAAAATTCTTGGTTTACATAAACAGTTGCTAGGGTGGTGAATAAAGAGACAAGTTGTAAGGCCAGGTTAGGGTTAACCAGATGTCTGTATTGAAAAGGAACACTCTTAATTCGTTCCCAATTCAGGAAACTGTAACTCAGTGTAGCATAATGGATAGCTGGTGTTTCGGATAAAACAACCCCAGAGATTACTTTAGTTTGGAAATATTGATCTGACATCTTATATTCATTTTATCAGAATAAATGGGGAGCAACATCCATTATAGGCAACAGAATAAGAGCTTGTTTCAGCCCATACATAAGTTCTTTCTCTTTTTCTTCCATGGGCATTATCGTGAATCATTTTAACTTCCATTATGATCTACTCACTGATCCTTCCTTATGGTACTTGGCTTCTTTTCACAGTTATTCTGTCCCTTCTGCTTCCAGGTCTCCCAGTGAATGCGCAAGACATGCCTTAACCGTATTGCAATACAGTCGTACCTCAGCTCACGAATGCCTTGGTTCACGAACAAATAGGGTCACGAAAAAAATGTCATTAAAATTTTGACTTGGGTTGCCAACTCCACAATGGGTGGCGACCAAGATCGCAGCCATCTCCCCACCCCCACCCCCAAGTGGGGAGATGGCCACGATTCCAGTGCTGTTAGTGCAGGGAAGATGTGCGTGATCACAGGCGTGCTCCTGCAGGACAGACGGGCACAATCTCGGCTATTCCACCCCCTCAGCCAGCACGACTGTGGCCATCTCCCCATCCCCCCGAGTGGGGAGATGGCCGTGCTCATGCTGGGGGCGGGAGGGGAGATGGCCGAGATTGCGCCCGTCTCTCCCTCCCCCAGCACGCCCTGTTCGCGCCCGTCTCTTCCTCCCCCAGTGCGCTCACGATCAATTGCGCCCATCTCTCCCCCCGCACCCCCCAGCGTGCCGGGATGACAGGCGCGTGCTAGGATGATGGGCACCTGCAGGGATGACAGGCGTGATCTCGGTCGTGCTGTGGGGGCGGGGAGATGGCTGCACTTGTGCTGGGGGTGGGGGAGATGGCCACGATCTTTGATGTTGTCACTTTGCTTCACATTTTTCTGATTTAAAAAATGGTTACAGAACGGATTAACCTTATTTACATTGAATCCTATTGGGATATTTAACTTGGCTCACAACCAATTTGGGTCACGACCAGAGTCCTGGAACAGATTAAGTTTGTGAGCCAAAGTACCACTGTATGTTCTCGTTCTCCACTGGACTGGGTTGCCCCCTTTCCTCTGCCTGATCAGTCTTTATTTTTTCAGCCTTCCTTAATCTCCCTCTTCTCTTGTTGAGACAATTTCTTTTCATAGTAATCAATATATATAAATTTCCTTTCTTGTCATATTGCTCCTCTCTAAGTCTCTGTTCTGTCTTCTCATACACTTCTCATACATAATTATAACACTGATTCTTCTATGTTTTTGCTAGCAGTGCCTGATCTTTTTAATCTACCTGGCTTAAGCTGTTGGTGGTCTTCCCCTCCTCACCATTTTATCTATGGTTATTTCCCTGTTGTTTGTTACTCCTGTTCTTCTGCTTCTGAACTTTCATGGCCTTGTCATATGTCAGCACAAGATAGTGGCCTCCAGATGTTTTGGCCTCCAGCTGCCATCATCCCAAGCAAGCACGGTCAATGGTCAGGCTCGATGGGAGCTGACATTCAAAGTATCTGGAGGGCATCGGGTTGGGTGCAGAAGATTCTTTCTGGCTTTACTTATGCTAGATGTTTGCTTCTTGCTTTACTTGTTCTGTCCTGCAAACTCTTTCGGCTGATTCGTTACAACAAGTATTATATCGGGTACAGCAGAACTGAGTTCAAGCACTACCACCTGCCTGCTTTCCCAACTACCTACCCATTTCTGGTTATCCATACTGATTCCTTAGACTCCTTGCATACAAGGCTACTTGAATTAGAATGCTATCAGCTAACATTATCCTGGTGAAAGTGTTGAACTAATTCATTGTTGGCAATAAAAATTGATCTCATATTGGTTTTAGTTGATTTTACTTTAAATTGTTTTATTTAATGTTTTATATTATATTTTAACTTGATATTTATTTATATTTATATTTGGATTATATTGTTAATATGTTTTGAATATGTTGATTTAATGTTATTGTTTGTAGAATGGTGTGTTGTTTTATTGTGAGCTGGGCAGAGAAGCTGGATAAGGGCTATTGTAGTGGCATATAAAATCTATTGAAAAATAAACTACCAATTCAACAAGGAATTTTGAGTGTGTCTGTGTGCACGTGCGCAGGCATGTGTGTGCAAATCAATAGTGACAGAGCAGATACTGAAGGCAAGAGGTCTTCTGCACCAAAGAACCTCACACCCAGTGCTATGTCAATAAATGTCTTGCACTCACTTGTCTGGCTTATGTTACAGATTTACTGGCCGCCTCTCCCAGGACAGAAAGAAGAATGTTTTCGGAAAGGAAAAGACTCGGTGGTGAGTCACGCCATTGCTAGTAAAGCATCTCAATGGATTTGCTTTGTCTTTCCTCTTCTCTGGAATGACATATTTCAAATGAATGTACAGCTACAGGGAAAGGGTGGATTGCTTATTCTTTTGCAATCATTGTTATTAGTTGATTCTGTTTTCCATTCATAGAAACATAGAAACAGAGTGAGTCAGAAGGGGTCTCCCAGGCCATCTAGTGTGACCTCTGGCACCAGCCGGCTCCACTCATGACATGCCCACCATGTGGATGTCCAGCCTATCCTTGAATACCCACACCAATGGGGCCTCAACCACCTCCCGGGGAAGCCCATTCCACACCCTTGGGGTCCTGACTGTCAGGAAGTGCTTCCTGGACTTCCCTTCCCTTCCCCATTCCATTCCCTTCCATTCTTCCTTCACAGAGGGCTTATGCATGGTTAAACTATCATCACCTCTTCCCAAGAAACCTGAGAATTATAGTTCTGTGCAGGGCTTAGAACGCACCTGAACGGCGTTCCAGCACCTTTTTTTCAATGGATTTTACGAAGTGATTTTGAATCGTAGCAGATCAGCAGCAAACATCATTAACATAGTGCCTGCAGGCTGCTATGGTGTCCGCTATCTGATAGTGAGAGATAGCTACTTGGGACGCTGCTCGGCTTGGGATTGGTGTGTGTGCTTACTGCCGGCGGGGACGTGAGTTCCGGCACTTTTTTTTTTTTTTTTTTTTTACAAAAAAAGCACTGGTTCTGTGTGGGACAATGGGTTTATCAGACTAAGACTTCTTAACACCTCACCAATTTTTTGTGGATCACCATCATATTTATTGTGCAAAACCATAAGGATATAAAAGCCCTGTTGGCCCAGCCTGAGGGTCCATCGTGTCCAGCATTCTGCTCACACAGTGGCCAACACCCCTGGGAACTCAAAACCAAATGTACTTTGTTTTATCTTAGTGTGATGTTGGTTTTTTAAAAAAAATATTTTAAATGTTTGTAAGCCATCCAGGGACCCGACTGGCTAAAGGCATGGTATAGAATTTTTTAAATAAACTCCTAAGTAGAACATGAGTCCAACAGCATCTTCCTGCCCCAGCAATTGGGGTATTTAGGTATATTGTTTCTGATACTGGAGACAAATTGCCGATCATGGCTAGAAGCCACTGATAGCCTTCTTCTTCATGAATTCATCCAGTCCCTTTTAAAGACCTTCAGATTCATGGCTATCACTTCATCATGTGGAATAAATTCCAGAGTTTAACTATGTACTGTGTGAAGAAGGACTTTCTTTTATCTTTCCTGAAGTTCAACCAATCAACATCATGGGATGACCCTAGACTGTAGCATTATGAAAAAGAAGGGAAAAGTTTACCTACCCACTTAACTTTCTCCATGCCTTGCATCATTCATGACTTTTATCATGTTTTCCCTTACTTTTTGTCTAAGTTAAACAATCCCAGAAGTTGTAACCTTTCTTCACAGGGAAGTTGCTCCAGCCCCTTGATTATTTCGGTTGCCCTTTTCTACAACTGTACAGCTATACTACGTTCAGTCATGTCATACTGCAAGGGCAGTATGGTATTGGCAGTTCTGTTCTCCCAACAATCCTTTTGAAGCTCTCCACAATCCCTTTTTAACTACCCCAAATAATGTTGTGTAATCTGCAAACTTGACCACTACATTTTTCCCTCCTAGTTCCAGATAATATATCAATAAATTGAAAAGCACTGGTTCTAATACAGATCCCTACTGGGACTCCATGTTTACATCACTCCACTGAGAGAATGGACTGTTTATCTCCCCTGTGTGTTTTCTATTCCTTTACCAGTTACTGGTCCATAAGAGGACCCTCTTGCCTCTTATTCTAGGACTGCTAAGTTTGCTCAGGAGTCTTTGGTAAGACTTGGTCAAAAATCAGCCATGGAACTCACTGGATGACTTTGGGCCAGTCATACTCAGCCTAACCTACCTCACAGGGTTGCTTTTGTGAAGATAAGATGGAAAGGGGGAGAACATGTAAGCCACCTTGAATTCCTGGGAAGTAAAAGGCAGGATATAGATATAATACTTAAATAAGCCTTTTGGAAGTCTAAGTAAAGAATGTCTATCAACCCTGCCCACATTTTTATTGACACCCTCCAAGATCTCTAAAAGATTAGTGAGACAGGAGTTACCTTTGCAGATGGTATTTGGGTTGATTCTTTTTCAGCTTATAAATTTACTAAATTTATTTTTAGTGATGCCTTCAGTCAATCTACCCAGAACAGACACTAAGGTTTCCAGTTCTTCATTTTGGTTCCTGAGTCCGGAGCCTATGGGCTCCGCACCTGCGGGTTATGCATTTCCTACACTGGAGACACCAGCCGCAGTAGCCTTCCCAGTAATAACCTGTTTCTTGGTACTAATGTTGGTCCTCAGCTTTGGAGGATGAAATAAGACTTGATGTCTACTACAAAACCATTTCCTCGGCATTCACCTGCATTCTCTCAGTGTGCCAAAGTGTGGATATTATGGCCGGCTTTTGTGTCCACAGTGTTGTGGCCATAGGGAGTGGCCATGTACTCTACTCTCAAACTGGGATTGGTGCTTGGAATACTCCATGCCCTATAGAAAATATTATTGGGCCAACTGGGAAGCAGATCGAGAATGGGAGGCCACTGTGACTACAAAAGGCATGGATACTGTCTCTCCCTTCTGTGTCTGTTTCTTGCCCACCAAATGGGGATGTTTTCTTTTTGCCTCCTCCTTGTCCAACTTGGGTCCAACAGTCATTGCTAGTCAGCCAGAGCCTTCCCTTCCGCAATCCGTTATCTGAATGAGACACATCATCTCCTCCAAGGTCAGTCCTGATCTTTATACCATTGCCTGCAGTTCCACAGGCTTCATCACACTAGTCTGACAATAAAGATGACTATCAATTCGATTATCTTCAAATCTTCACACTCTTCATAATGACCAGCATTGATTTAATCTCCTGATGCTATAGTGAGGAGCTTCAGGACCCTTCTCCACCACCTGCAGACATGGATCACTTTTCCAACCAAGTCTTGAGGATAACACAGTCCTCGTGCCTCAAAACCCAACAACTGGTACCAAAAATCAATTACCCAGTTTTAAATGCAGTGTGCACAGAAGCAGCTATGCTGATTGTGATTCTTTTCCTCCCCACTTTCCTGCCAGCTGTCCAGGAACTGGAAAGTTTCAGCTTAAAGTTGCCAACATCTTGTTGTCTAGAGAATATGGACAGGGTGTTAGAAAAAGATATAAAGCTTCTCATTTCCTATTCTTTGCCAAACTCAGTTATTATAGAGTTGTTACAAGGCCATTCTAGCAAAGTCCAGTCATCACTAATTGACAGGGAAAGTCAAGGCACAGGTAGGCAGATCTATTCTACAGCAGCTTTAAATCCAAAAGTGGCTAATTACCAGGCTACCATGTCTTGGTTGCAGCTCTTCTTCTGGGAGGAAATGTCATCATTATGCAGCTCTCTTCCTGAGGAACTGCAAGCAACAAGCAGGTGCCCACGGGCGCCCACAGCAGCAAGCAGTGAGCTGCCAAATACACTCAAAGAGATGCATGTGACTCCCAAACTTTGCTCTGGCCGCCACTGCTATCTCTCTCTTTTTTTATTAATAAAGATTTTTATTAAGATTTTAAACTAAAAACTAAAAAAGCATCAATCATCAAATACATCGGACCTACTGGGTCAGCCCCCTATAACATATCTTTTTAACATTCTGTAATCATATTCAAATCAATTTATAAAAATTTAAAAACATCTTTAAATCTAAGCCAAGTCCTGTTTCTTCAGCCAATCATAAAAAAGGTTCCAAGTTTGATAGAAGTCAGTATCTTCTTTCTCCTTCAGTAATAGAGTCAATCTGTCCATTTCTGCACAGTCCAGAATCTTTTTTAAAATCTGTTCCTCCGTGGGTAGTTTCTCACTCTTCCAGTATTGAGCAAGCGCAATCCTTGCTGCTGTGATTAAATGTAGCATCAAATACATTTCTTGTTTGCTAATATTTTCTGGTATAATGCCTAACAAGAAAATTTCAGGTTTAAAAGCTAAGGGTTTTTGTAGCATTTCCTCAAGCCATTTATGTATTTTAATCCAATACTTTTTCACATATTCACAGGTCCACCACATATGGTAAGAAGTAGCCACATCATGTTTACATTTTCAACATCCGTTTGACATATTTGGAAATATCTTAGCTAATCCACTTGGCGACAAATACCATCTATAAAACATTTTATATAAATTTTCTTTATACAAAGTTGCTAAAGTTACCTTAATATTTCTCTCCCATAGCTTTTGCCACTTTTCTAATTCAATATTATATCCAAAATTTTGTGCCCATGTTATCATAATTTCCTTAACCTGTTCCCCTTCCATTTTCCTGTCAAGTAAGAACTCATAAATTTTTTTAATCATTTTCTCATCTGTTTTTAGCATCATTTGATCAAAGGCTGTTAGGTCTTTATAAAACCCCCATATTTTACAGTCTTTAGCATATCTTGATTGCATCTGCACCTTATACCACCAAGAGATATTAAGTCCGTGTTCTTGTATTTCTTGATCTAGTTTCAGGCCTCCTCATCATATCATCATATCTTATGATCCCTTCAAAATTCAATTCATTTGGAGACACAAAAGCTTCCATAGGTGAAAGCCATCTTGGTAATTTATTATACAATTTTGACTGTAACTTTTCCCACACTGACATTAATGATCTTCTAATAAAGTGACTTAAAAAAGTCCCATGAGACTTCACTTTCTCGTACCACATATAAGCATGCCAACCCATTTGCAAATCATGACCTTCAAGATACAAAATTCTCTTATTTCGCAAGGTTATCCATTCTTTTAGCCAAGTTAAAATAGACACTTGATAGTACAACATCCAATCAGGAAGACCAAAACCCCCGTTCTTTTTGGTTTCCTGAAGCATTTTTAATTTAATCCTTGCTTTCTTTTTTCTCCAAATAAATCTTGAAATTTGAAAATTT